CTCCTCCCTCCCCTGCCTGCCTGGGTTCTCCTGGGTGAGGGAGCAGCTTCAGAGCAGGGCCTTCCCCCTCCCCCGCCACCCCACACCATTGGTGTTTTCCCCAGGCTGGCGAGGGTGGAGCTGCACCGATGACAGTGCAGCCCAGACCCTGGCACAGCAGAGGGCGGCAGCGCTGCTGCTCACACTCAGCAACCTCATGTTCCTGGCTCCCATCGCTGTGTCTACTCACCGCCTGCTCCTGGTGGAGGCCTCCGTCTACACCTACACCATGTTCTTCTCCACGGTGGGCTGGCCGCCTGCTGGGATGGGACGGGGTGGGCCGGGCCAGGCCGGGCTCACTGTCCTCCCTTGCCCCCACAGTTCTACCACGCCTGTGACCAGCCGGGGGAGGCTGTTCTGTGCATCCTCAACTACGACACACTGCAGTACTGTGACTTCTTGGGCTCTGGGGTATCTGCCTGGGTCACCATCCTTTGCATGGCACGGCTGAAGACTGTCCTAAAATATGTGAGTGACCTTCGACATCGCCTTGAGCTCTGGGAAGCAGAGGTACTTGGGCCTCATGTGCAAGGCAGTAGGAGGGAGAGGCCAGAGAGACATTGAGCTGTGGCCGAGAAGCCTCACATCTCCTGGGATGACCAGCTGCCCTCAGAAGCTGCGGGCGGCTGTGCAGGAGCAGTGCTGGCTATTTGGAGAATGTCTGGAAGAAAGGTGGTTGACAGGGTGAGGCCAGGCCCCCAGGCCTTCTCCCGGGGCCCCATTCAGAGAGGATCCTGGAGTCCACCCTAGGCCAGGACCCCCCAGAAGCCCAGCTGAGCTCCTGGGGTGCCAGGGATACTCGGGGGGCTTTCTGTGGCCGTTGGGCCTGGTGAATAGAGACCTATGCCCTGGAGCTTTTCAGCTGAATCCTCCATCTTTGGTGTGCTCTGGGAACTGCATGCTGCATGTCCCCCCAGGGGACGCTCACTGGAGCCCCATGGTGGGGTGCTCAGAAGCATCAAGTCCTGCCGGGCAGTTTTGGGATTCTGAACTTACAGAAAGGTGGAGCACTGCAGATTGTGGGCAGGGGCCTCTGATGAAGATGGGCTGGAGACTGAAACTGGGGGAGACCGAAACTGCTCCATTGGGGACCCCTGGGAGCTCGGGTGTGGGTGAGTCTGTGGGTGCAGAGTTGCCACATGCAGCTGTCCAGTTTGTGTGATGGTGCCCTGCCTGTGGAAGGGCCCCACCTTCTAGGCCCCCAGGGGCACCTGCTGCCTGGCCACATTCATCTGTGGTTGAGGTGCAGGAGCTGGAGGAGGGCTGCCTCCCTGCCAGCCGAGTTGGTTGAAGGGGGCCAGCCACTCAGGGACAGTGTGGGGCAGCATGCCCTGGCTGCCTCTCCTGCTGGGTCTTGTCCCATCACAGATGACATCCACGCCTAAGGCTTCTGTGACCCTGCCATCGTCACCCCTATGTCTTACCCAGGTCCTGTTTCTCCTGGGCACATTGGTCATCGCCATGTCCTTGCAGCTGGACCGCAGGGCTGTGTGGAACATGATGGGGCCCTGCCTCTTTGCTTTCTTGATCATGGCCTCCATGTGGGTAAGGAGGCTGGCCCTGGCTCTGGCCATGTTCCCAGTCCTGCTCTAACCACTGAGTGCCCCACATCTACCTGGGTTGCCAATGGCAGCCATGAGGCCTAACAGGGACGTGTACCCTTGAGCCCCCTTGAAGCACCCCACCTTTGTGGTTCTACTGCCAGGCCTGGGTGGGACCCTGGGACCACTGTCCCCGAACCCCAGAAGCAGTGGCCACAGCCCCATCTATGCCAACACGTGCAACTCTGCTCTAGGCGTACCGCTGCGGGCACCGGCGCCAATGCTACCCCAGCTCGTGGCAGCGCTGGGCCTTCTACCTCCTTCCCGGCATCTCCATGGCCTCTGTGGCCATCGCCATCTACACCTCCATGATGACCAGCGACAACTACTACTACACGCATAGCATCTGGCACATCCTGCTGGCAGGGAGCGCGGCGTTGCTGCTGCCCCCACGGGACAAGCACGCTGAACCCTGGGACTGCTCGCAGAAGTTCCCCTGCCACTACCAGATCTGCAAGAACGATCGGGAGGAGCTGTACACAGTGACCTGATGCTGGGGACCTGGCTGCTCTGTTGACCTCTCCAGCCAGGAGCCCTGCCTAGCCCCATCAGATTGATTTCCAACTGAATAAAATTGACCTGCACGCCCTTAGCTTCCTCCTCCTCCCCGACATGACATGTACCGGCTCCATTGCCTCTGGCAGGCTGGTCCCTCTGCAGGTCCCAGCTGCTGTCTACAGTGGCCCCTGGGACCTGGGCCTGGTGCCTGGAGACATAGGTACCTGTGTGGTGTGGGGCTCTGCTCTGCTGGCCTGGGGATGGTTAGAGATGTGGAGAGACTCCCCTCACAGCATTCCCCTGTGAGTCTGTGATGTGAGACCCAAGGGTCAAGGAGGCCTGACTCCACCACTGGGGCTTGTTGGGAGCTGTGCACTCTCAGCGTCCTGGCTCCTGGCTGGGTGTGCCCCTGAATGCCAGCCTGCCTTGGACACGGGGATCCCTCTGCTGCTGCAGAAATCATGGGGAGAGACCCCAGGCACAGACAGCCCATGGGTGCTGGGGGCCACGGGTCAGGCCCTGTTCCTCCCTTTTGTCCTGGCTTTGGTGCCTCTGGTTCCTGAGAAGAGGCCCCCAGGCTGGTCTGCTCAGTGGCTCTGGAGAGCACCCCTGCCCAGTTATGTGTCCCACCCCAGGGCTCCTGGGCCCACCCCTGGGACCATCTTCTGTCCCTTGTGCTTAGGGAGGAGATTCTGGAAACTGGCTTTTCCTGCTCCTCCGCAAAGCTTCATGGGGGCCGCAGGGCCAGAAGCAGTGCTGACCTCTCCCTGAGGCCAGAGTGGAAGGGTGCTGTCTGTAGCAAGGTCTCACCCTAAGCCCTGGAAAAGCTGGGTTTGGGTCAAGGCCCAGGGTGGAGTTCTCCTACCCTCTGGGGTGTTCTTTCTGGGTCCTGTCCACAGTGTGGCCTTCTTGGAGCTTCCCCACTCCCGGCTACCCTGCACTTGGCTACCAAAGCAAACTCCAGGCTTATAAAGGGGAAAGATGCATACATGGTGTTTTGGGGGGTAAAACATCCTGACATTTTTATGTAGATCTGATTTCTCTGTGATTGTTGAGTTTAATATTCCACAAGTGATTTTTCAAGCTAAACGAGTTTTTCCGTGTTTTCCGCGTTCCTCGCGGGAGGGGAGGTGGGACCCAGGATGCCAACCTCCAGGCCGCACGGGGCTGCCGCCTCCGGGCGCTTTCCAGGGTCTCCAGGGACGCGGGAGGGGCGGGGCAAGGGCTGGACGGACGGGCTCTGCAGCCAGCCAGCGGCGGGAGGAAGTCAGGCGGGGAGGCGC